AAGGATTTGGAAGAGAAAAATACAGGGAGCTGACAGAGAAGTAGCAAACAGATGGAAAGAAGAGAAGTTATCCATGAGAATAGTTTGGCTAAAATATGGAGGAAAATATTCTGAAAGATGAGACTCAGAGATAGGAGTGAAGATGTATAGCTGCTCAAAGATGACAAGAATGAATACAAAACAAACGAATTCAGAGTTTCCAGGCAGCTGCAGTATTAATCTTGGCAAGAGACACTGGAATAGGGCAAAAATTAAATATCCTTGGACAGCAGGAAAAAACCAGACAGAAATTTGTAGAAAATACTTCACTGAGAGGGAGACATCAAGATAAAAAGAATTAGACAAAAGGTGACAAAATATCCATAAATAATCTGGTTTAGAGGTCAGGGATTTGATGGTGAACAACAGGGAATTGGGAAGACTGGGTTTTGCCTGCTCACATGTTGGCAGTTTTGGGATGTGTGGCACGCTGGGTGGGAACATCCATCAGGGGAATGCTGCAAAGTCTGAGACTGAGCAGGGACTGAGTCACTGCAGCCTCCTCTGCTGTGGGGTTTTAGCTCTGCAGAGAGGCACACAGCCCCACAGTGCAATATTCTCCCTGGACAGCACAAGAGGCTGCTCATCGCCAGCTGCCAGGGAGGGAACTGCAGGAACCACCCCCTGTCAGGGGGCTGGGATCTGAGCCCATCCCAGAAGCTGAGCAAGGTAAGGGCTGGTAAATTCATGGTAAATTTGAATTTAAATGGGAGATGATGGAGGAAACTGGTGGCACATCAAGAGCTGTGAATTATTCTACTTGCAGAGATCACCCGTGTGAGAGGCTGGGAGAGCTGGGAATGTTCCCCTGGAGAGGAGAAGGCTCCTGGCTGACTCCCCAAAATCCCCATGCTCCAACAGATCCCAGTCACTCACTCCAAACCACTCTCCTGAACCTCGGGAAGGTTCAGGCTGTGCTGATGAAAGGGATGGCTTTCCCAAAATGCAGGATCTTTCATCCTGTTTTATCCATATCTTCTATAGAAGTTTGTTATATGCTGTTTTATCCAGACTGCTTTTCACAGGACTCCTGGAAACCTGCAGTCTGACAGAAAGAATTTCAATTCCCCAAACTTGAAACTCAAGAAACTCGATTCCAAGCAGGAACAGCTATTTGGAAACAGTGATGTTTCCACCAGCAGATTTTCCTGCTGGGCATGGAGCTGCCAACTGCTAACCACTGATGGTCCTCATTATCTCTCTGCTGATGCTGAACATTTCTGATGGTGATGTGCTGCCACGAGCTCCACAGCAAGGAGCACACCAGAGTTTGGAGTGAGAGGTCCAACACCAGAACAATTTCCCTGTGGATTTTCTCTTCTGCCCTGCCTGGGTCCTGTTTATGAGCAGCCTCTCAACATATAATTAGTAATTAAAAATATAGAATTGAATTGGTATTGCCTAGAGCAGCTGTGGCTGCCCCTGGATCCCTGGAAGTGTCCAAGGCCAGGTTGGACAGGGCTTGGAGCAGCCTGGGATGGTGGAAGGTGTTCCTGCCATGGCAGGGGTGGATTAGGATCATCCTTAAGGTCCCTTCCAACCTTCCCTTCCTTAAGGTCCCCCCAACCATTCAGGGATTCTGGGATTCCTCTCTCTTGGCAGTTTCTTTTCCTCCCTCCTTGCCTCACCTACCCACAGTTGTACAGCTCAGTCTTTGATCTTCACTGTTGCTATTTTTCTTGATGTATTTTGCCAAATGATGTGTTCTCCTAACTCACCTCAAGTGTCACACTCTTTCTTTCTTACTTTCCAACTAAAATGGGGGACTTTGCAGCTTCTTCCCTACTTGTAGCACTTCCTTCCCCCACCACAACCCCTTCTGTTGACTTTCCCCATCCCAAAAACTCTGTTTTAAGTGAAAACTTGTACTACCTGGGTCTTGCTCTGGATCCACACATTTCTTAAGAAGAACAGTGGATTATAAATTCATTATAAGAATGCAAAGTAAAATCTGATCCCATTTCAACAACAGTTGGATGCAATTAAAATTCTGGGCACTCTGGATTCCAAGTCCACACTGCCTCTGCTTTGCTCTGTGTGGGGTTGAGCAGCTTTGAGGCTGTGCCAGCACCATGTGGGACATGGAAGGGCACACACAGCCCATGTCCAGCTTTTAATGGCTCTGGAACTCTGGAACCTCAGGAATTTGGCCCCAGAAACAATCCCAAACCCAACCAGGCTGCACAGCACGAGGCATGGAAGATGTGGGTGCTAATGAGAAGTTATTTTCATATTTCTTCAACCCCAGGTGCTGCCAACAACAGTTAAAGCCCAGCAGGCTTAGTTTAAATCAGCCTCAGGCTGGTTCTTCTCCATAGCTCATGTCACCTTTGGGGCATTCATTGTATGGGAAAGGAGGCTGCCTTGCCCCAGTCCCCAGAGGCCCTGGGCTGACAGGGCAGCTCTGCTGTGCTGCTCTCAGAGGGGCCAGACCCCCCTGTGACCCCGACTCTGATCCTGTGTGGAAAATCCCCTTCCTGAGCTGGCTGAACCACAGGACTCAGCACACACCTCATGAAGCAGGTCTGCCTTGGAATGCACTGAGCACACCTCACACCTCTGCAGGACTCTGCCTCCTGCAGCTCCTGTCCAGTTTCACATCCAAGAATAGGTAACTGCCTATTTCTGGGATCTCAAATGGAAAATGCAATCATTGCACCAAAAAAACCCCAAAAACCCAGCAGTGAGATTCTTTCACTATTTTGACTCCAAGTGACTGTGGGAGCAGACTTAGAGAACTGCCCCAAATTCAAATGAATTAGTGACAGCAGCCTTCCAAGTTGAGATTGTATTTTCTTTGTCTGGAGAAGAGACAAAGGTAAGAGCTGATGAAATAAAATACAGATCCATGCTGGGATCTGTTTCCAGCTCTCTTTGGGCACTACCTGCAGGAGATGAGGGAGGAACAAGAATAAACCAGGACTCACCCCTGCCATGCCAGCAGGATCCTGATCTCCTCAAATCCTGCCATTTTACTGAGTGCAGTCCCTTCACCTTTCATTCAGCACATTCCTCACCTCCTCTGGAGCACTCTCTGCTTCAGAGCCTTTTGTCTTTTGCTCCCAATTCCCCTGTCTATGGATTAATCCAGTGTTGAGTTTGGAGCTCTTATTTTTCCATCAGCTAATTAATTGCCATCGATGAGCCTCCTCCTCCTCCTCTCCAGAAGATGCTGTATGTAACTCCCAAGCCTATTTCTCCACTTTCTAATTTAGGAAATTTATTATTCCTTTTATTCCAGCTGTGACCTACTATGTGAAAGGAACTTGTGCTGGTGTTTGGAGGGGCTGCCCTTCCCAGGGAACCACCACAGGGAATTCCAACAGCTCCTGACCTGGTTCAGGAATTGACAGTGACCTGCAATTTATTGTCTTCAAAAACTACTCAAAACCCTTAAAATTAGTCAGAAAATTGAAGTGTGTAGCATCCAATTAATAATTTCTTTAAAAATCTGGAGTATTTTGAACATGAGAACTGAAAAAGGAGTAAGTAAGTAAATAAATGCTGTGAATCCTCCTTAAAAACCAAGCACCCAGCAAGATCCCTGCCAGGAGGCTGTGGGTGTACATGAGATGGATGGAGATCAGGTTGGCAACGTTTAAAAGAAGATGGATTTAAAAAACCAAACCAAAACAAACCAGAAAAAATGGCTTCCCTGTGGTGATCAGACCAATATAATTAAACACAAGACATGGTCATCAGTGCTAATTAAAACTGGGGCCAGAGTCTTGCATTTATCACTGCAGTGCTGAAGCAGCACCAAGGAAATGCAGAACCTGCTCCTCCCTCAGATCCATCGACAGAAGATTCGCCCTCTGCTTCACTTCAGCTTCCAAAACAGTTCCTCAAATTCAGAATAAAAGCAGATACACTTCATCTGGATTAGCTGCAGTGTCACAGTGCTGGAGGAAGCTCCTCACCAAGGTAGCAGTGGGTTATTATTGTCCTTTTTCTGTCACTAAAGCATCGCTCTGCCTCACCACAGCCCTGCTGTAGAGAGTGGTTTGCTCTCCACAGCCCCGCTGCCTCAAACTCTGGGTGTGAGGGATCCCCCTGTGCTCCCACTGCCTAATTAACCCTATCACTGAAGGGTTAATTAACCCAGGCCTGCTCTGCCAAGGGGGCTGAGCAGTCACAGTCACCCAAAGGCAGTGGTTTTCATTTCTCCCCTGAGTATCCCCATGCTTTTTCTACCTTCAGCCTTCAAACCCATTTCTTTTTCTGCACAGAACCAACCAGAAATAAAAATTAACCATCCCCTCAGCCCTTCAGCCCCAGATGGTCTTTAAGTTCTCTTCCAACTCAAATCATTCTGGGATTTTGTGACCCTTCCAGCATAAACCATGCTAGGATTCTATGATTTCCACTCAGGACACAATTTCAGACTTCAGCTCTCTGTGCAGAACTCAGATTAAACTCCAGCTCAGGAAATCTCCTGGGCAGCAAGGGAGATCCCCTGGGTCTCCCTGCTTTTAGGAGGAGTGGCAGAAACTCCATGGACAGTAGGAGCCATCCCCCTCCCTCGGCACAGCTGAAAGAAAAGATGACACATTCAAACACAGGGCTCTGCTTTTCCCAGCACACCTTTGGTGGGAGTTGGGATCACTGCCTGATCCCTTCCCCCTTCAACTCCCACAGCCCTCCAGCTCCTCACTGGCTCAGAGCTCACAATTCACCATCTGTCCCTAACCTCCTCTTTGTACTAATAACACGTTGTAATTGCAACATCTCTTCATGCAGCAATTGATCAGGCAGATAAGAACAAACAAGGAAATAGTGAGCCTGACACAGCCAAGAGCAGTGGTACATCCTGCAGGGCTTCCTGTCATCTAACCACTGAAACTACAAAAAAAACCAACCCCAAACACTTCTTTTGTCTAGAACTTCACAGTGGGTGAAAATAAACACATGGAAAAAATGAAAATGTGATTCAAAAATACAGGAAAGAATGTAAAACTTACCAGGCTCTAACTTGATTATTTTTACAGCAGCCAGTTCTCCTGTATGAAGATTTCTAGCCTGAAACGAGACAGTTAAGATATATTTAGATATAGTTAAGATGGATATTTAGATATAGTTAGGATAGTTAAGACATATTTAATCATAAATCAAAGGCACCCCACAGTCTTACAGACTGTGCAAAAATAAGATGTTGTCTGATACAAATACAATGCAAAGCTGAGACCAACGTGGGTGAGGATAATTTGGGTTTGGAATTAGCACAGCACCAGCCTGGTGGAATTGTGGTTGGAATTGTGAAGTGTTCCTGACAGTTCTTTTGCAGACTTTAAAACATCAAATCACAGAATCACTGAGGCTGGAAAAGCCCTCCAAGGTCATCCCATCTGTGACTGTCACCACCTTGTCCCCAGCCCAGAGCACTGAGAGCCACATCCAGTCATTCCCTGGACACCTCCAGGGATGGGGACTCCAAACCTCCCTGGACAGCCCCTTCCAACCCCTGACCACCCTTTTGAGGAAGAAATTCCTCCTCATGTCCAACCTGAGCCTGGAAATGAGAGTTCACCCCTCTCAAACACCATTTTTAAGGGAAGCTTCTGGCACTCAAGGATGCACCAGGGGTCACCCATCTCATGGTGCTGAACCTCAGAGTGCCCCAAAAGTGGAACTGAGAGGGGCAGGAGAGGCACTGCAGAGGCACCAGGGATGAGTCACAGCTCTCCGCAACAATTTCACTCTGCAAACTCCCTCCTTGGTCCCACAATCCTCCTCCTCAGTAGCAGCAGCTCCAATTAAGCCTTTACAGAACTGTCCTCTCTGGATATGCTCCAAATTTCAACTGAGAATTCAGTGCTGGAAGAAGATGTCACAGGAACCTCAGATACAGAAAGTTTTAAGAGGGGATTTTGTGAACACTTTCTAATAACTAAATCACTCAGGCACCATCACCAGAGCTAAGTATTATTCAGGACAAAACCTGATTTAATTAGGCTGTGCATCCAAGAGTTACAGGAGTTTAGTCCCAATAGTTTCATTCTTACCCTAACAAATATGCAGTCTTCTGAACAGCTGAAATCTGGTGAAGAGGTTGGTTAGAGAAAATGCAGGGAAAACTGGGTTAAGTTAAATCAATTTGGACTTAAGATGAGGTCAAAGGAAATTTGACCCCGTGAAGGGAGTCATTACAGAACACTCTTCTCCTGTGCATGGACAAGAAGTCTTAAAAACAGGAAAATCAAGAGCCTGAAGGATTAACCCCTGAGTTTTATTAATACTTAGTCAAGCTTCAAAATAGGGAAAGGCTTTCCAGCCAGGAAAAAAACAAACTGAACCGAACCAAACCAAACCAAACTGAACCAAACCAAACCAAACCAATGAGTGGCCTTTCAAAGTCCTGCAGTGCTAAGACATGAGATGGGTTTCAAAATGCAGGCCAAGGACACAAATATGACTCAAGCTGATCTCAAAGAGAACCTGAACAGCTCTACAAAGGACCCAAACATCTGCAGACCAAATCTGAACTCAAGAGTCATCTGCAAACCACAAAGGAAACATTCACCACTTCTGAAAGCACCTTCCCACCAAGGTGTTTTTTTTGGACCACTGCAAAATCTTTGGTGTCCTTCAAAATCCAGAAGGAGCAGGTGGATGCCAGCGGGATAAAGGATTAGGATAAAGAATAAAGGATTAGGAGTGCTCTGGTCCTGCTAGACCACTGTGAAACAGGGATGCTCCCAGCAGGACACACTCTGCCTCAGTGCAGCCAGGGATGCTCCACTATCCACACTTTTACCCAAGAGCAGCTCAGCTGTTCAGGTGAAGTCGCCTGCACCATTTCCAGAGTATCAGCTTCACTTCTGGAGTACCAAAAGGATCATATTCCTCACAAATACTCCTTTTCCACACAAGCAGTAACTGCCACTGTCATGCTGAAGCCTGAAGGAATGGATGGAGTCTGCCAAAGGTCTGCTTGGCTGGGATCTGAAGGTTCAGGCTGGGGAACACTGCAGCTCCTGGCTCCCAGCTCTCACACACGACACAATTCCACTAAATCGTGTCCCGCTGCTTTCCAGTCTCACCACTAAGCTCATATATAATCTATAGCTTGGACAGGGACTATTTTGGGTTTCAACCATCAAACTTTGCCTGCTGGAACACAGAAGTCCCCACTGGGTTGATATTTATGATCTAAACCTATCAAGTTGTCTGTGTTTTCTGGTCCCACAGCTTTCCTCTTCCACCAGACACATTCCTGAGTTGATGACACCAAGACCACACGTGATCATTAACTCCTGCTGTGCCAGAACCAAAGGCAAAATCCAAAGCGTTCCCTGATCCTCAAAATCCTTGTGTGGATGCTCCCAGACAAGGAATGGTTTCACATCTTCAGTCTAGACATTGGCATGGTGAGCACGCAGCAAATCACTCAGAATGCTTCCCAAGGGACGTCACCCAAATGTCACCAGAGGCTTTTGTTCCCTGCTCTTGGCTTGCAGCAGCTTTGCCCAGGGACACACAGCTCCACCTTCCCTCTGCCACCTGTCAGCTGAGCACTCCATCAATAATGAATTACTGCTCTCATTAAAAATGCAACAAGGCCAGGGCTAAAAACTGGTTCACCATGTACACACCTAGATATGAGAAATGTCACATCAGGATTCCTCAGATCACTTTGGGATGTGTTAGTCAAAGAAATCCTCATTTCCCACGAGTCACTGCAGTTTGCATCATTCTATTTATTTTTTTTTTAAGAACTGTGCAGTTACCAAGGAAGTCCCAGACAGGAAGGCACCACGTCAACATCACTGGCTTTGTGAATCAAACCTGAAATTTGACTAGAAATGATATCTGACAAAAATGTAAGTCCCTAATGTGAAAAATTAGTTAATGATCTATCAGTCTGTCTTATTTTTGATTGATATAATCCTGCACTGCAGAGGGGGAACTACAGACTAAGAAATTACAGTTCTTCAACTCATGTTATTTACATTTCCTGAGCCCAACAGCAAAATATCTCCCTCCTCCTCATCCTTTCCTTTGAAATTTCCTCTGTATTTCAAGTCTCAATTTAAAATCAGCTGAAATTTTTGAAATTAGCCAGAGACCAGGGAAACTGTTACTTCATGCCAAGCAATCCAGACCTGTTCAGTATCTCGTGAGCTATTACTGACAAATAAAATAATCATTTATATGCATTTATCCCATAAAGATGACAAATATACAATGAACCTCAATGATGTATTTCACTTTAAGGAAGATAAAATTTGTTAGATGCCTTATTGACTTTAATTTTTCTGGCCTTGATCCCTTCAATATATAAGAAAGTCTCCTAAGAATTCCTTTGACACTAAAGGATGAAAGACTCAGTGGTGGTTTCCACATTTCCATCAGCAACGTGGTCCAGTTCCACAGGACAGAAGCAGATCCCAAATTCCCAAGATATTTGTTCTAAGATCTTCTCCAAGAGGAAGACAGAGCTTTTGACCCTTATTAGTATTGATCCTAATTTTATTTCATGGGATTCAAACCTGAAGATCATGTTCCCTATAGAATGCAAACTAAAAGTACAGGATTTTGGCAGAAGGATTGCAAAGCTCCAACATGAGCCACGCAAGAATGGGATCAGAACAAGAATCTATTTGAATGAGGTGAACCACAGCCAAATTTTAATTTGCTCAATGTCATTTACAAAGTTTATTTACTGAGAAAAAGAGTTTGGCAGCAGCCTTTTGGTCACCTCTTCAGCTATCCCACATCCTGACAGAGGATGAGTGACAGCATCCCACTGAGCAGAGCTCTTCCAGAATATTTTAGCAGCTGAATACTAACACTGCAGAGCATCACATGGAATCTGTGTTCAAAATAAAACAAAACAAAACACAAAGTACAAACACAAGTACTCTTTTTTTTGTGGATATCCTGTTGCGTTGTTGTAGTGACTGAGCACATCCCACCCCACTGGGACAGCACTGTTAGTAGGAGTATTTTGGGGAGCTGGGAGAGTTTTGTAGTATTACACACCAAAAAAATCATTGGGTTTTCCCACTGAGACTTGACTTTCTTCCCAAAGAGCTGCTGTGGGACAGTGGAACCTGAGGTGAGGCCCGTGGCAATCCCTGTGTGCGACGCTTCCCACTGCACACCCAAACACCACACCTGAGAAAACACAATCTGGGGAGGACATTTTCTGCAGCCAGTGACCAGAAATAACACAGAGAACTGGTTTCAGAACCAGTTATGCACTCTGCACTTGTGTTTTGTTTGTTTTCAAGAGTGCAAGCCAAACAGTTCCAGCCCAGGGGGTCCACAGTGCTGAGCCACGTGAGATGGTCAAAAATGGGGGAATGTCTTGGACATTTGAATCTCTGCTCAGTGTCCTCTTCCTAACCACAGAGGAAGAGAAAGGGAAGATTCACGCAGCAACATCCCTCTGTCAGGCTCCAAATTAGTATTTTCAATTTCCATGGTGAAATCCTCTCCTCTCCCCATGGTCACTGTCTCATCTCCAGCCTTGGATCAACAGCCCCATTCAGAGAGGAGCTGTTTGCTGGAGCGTGCCTTCATTAATTGAATGCTGATTGCAGCTCCTGTGGCAGCCCTCCCCTCCCTCCCCAGCTTATTCACCCCTTGCCAAGCTTCACTCACCCCTGACCACGAGGTTCTGCTGCCTCAAGTGCTGCCTGCTTGTTCCCAGTCACTGAATATCCCTTCAAAAGGTGCCTGACCTCGTGCCCTGGGAGTGAAAGACAAGCTCCTCTGCTTTCCAGTTTCTGACCTCTGACACTTTGTAATTCCCAACCTGCTCTGTGTGGTTTGGAAATTCCCATTATGCTGAGTTTTCCCTTCTATATCTCACAGTATTATCACACAGAGCCTTGAATTCACCTTCCTGCATCTCTGAATTCACATCTACCACTGTCAAGAGCTCTGAAGTGACCCAAAGAGATGTCTCCCATTTTATGGGCTGCCCTAAAACCATAAAAACAGGGAATTCTTGGTGGATGGTGATCTGCTGGACTCTAACAGAATTTGAATTATGTCCTAATGCAGAAGTTTAA